GGGAACTACGAGCGACTCGATGGCAAATACAACATTGCTGTAGTCCTCGCCAGACAGACTTGGGGTTCAGTTAGCGCTCTCTCTCTCTCTCTCTGAGACGCTCAGCAGTTGCCGTTAGAATATCCCACGGGCCCTTTTTCTATATATACAGGGAATTTCTCCGATCGCGCAAGAGAGACAGACAAACCCAGAGAGAGAGATAGGAAGAGAGAGCGGTGCAGAGTGAGAGAGGGAGAGCGAGAGTGAACAAACAAAACAGACGATGCGACGGCGCTCTGAGTGAGAACAGCAAAAACAGGGAATTTCTTGCCGCTGCTGCTGCTGCCAACTGCCTGGCTGGCTGGCCTTTTACGAATTCTATAAATCAGTCTTTCATTTTCTCTTTCACATCATTCAGCCATTTTCTCTTTGACGCGACGGACGCGTCTGCAGCTTGCAAACGGACGAACCGAAACGAAACAACTAACGAGAAAGAAACACGGGCAGCGAACGAGCGCTTGGGAATTTGGTGCTTTTTTTGCGGCGGATTAATTAAAACAATGTTGTTCTCCTCGGTATACCGTCGTCGTGTTCTAGCTGCTAGAATTTAAATACTACACACAAATAATGCAAATCTACCCACAAAAAGTGCTTAACAATTACAAAATGCAATAACAAACAAAAAAATGCACTAAGCAAGAAGAAAAAGAAGCAGAAGAAGTCGAAGCAAACAAAACGTGCGTGAGCTGTGATTCTACGTGTGTGTAAGTGTGAGTGCGTTTGCTTGTATGTGTGCGTGTGCGCGTGTGTGCGTGTGTGTATGTGAAACATTTAAGCATTAAGTGTGCTGCGCTTTGGATAACAGTTTTGGAGCTCTGCTGTCTAACATTAAATGTTAGTATACCAACACAAGCATAGTTGAATATATTCATACATAAGTGTATATGTGTGTATATATGTACATGAAAACAAGCATGAAAACGTCTGCAAAGATGCGACCGCCTGCTTGTATGTCTGTATGTGTGTGTGTATGTTAAAAATAAAAGTAATCAAAAGGGGGCAGCGATTACGTCGCCGTTTGTCGTCGCGTGCATTGCTCCCTCTGCTGCTGCCGCTGCTCAGCTGCTGCGCATGAGTTTGTAGTTGTAGTTATGTGTGTGTGTGTGTGTGTAGTGAAGTGTGTATTACATATGCACACATAGATACATATATACATGCATGTGATGTGCTTGCATGTTATTCTCTGCTTGAAACTATTACAGCAGCGCTTACATTTACATCATATGTTAAATAAACTGTTGGCAATGCTCGTCGTTTGTTTTTGTTTGCCCACGCAAATATGCAATGATTTCTTTACTGTTGTTGTCCCCCCTCTCCTCTCTCTTTGTGTCTATCTTTCGCGTTTTTCATTCATACCTTGCAAATGAAGCGTGCTCAATTGTGCGCGCGTGGTGTGGGTGAGAGGTGGGGGTCAGAGTGTGGTGAGTGAAACGGGTCAGGGTGGGAATCTGTGTTGGGTGGTGAAACACACACACACACACATAGACATGTAAATGTAAATACAGCAGACGTCTTACAAGCGGAAGTTGAAGTTTATGTATATGTATATGTATATGTGTCTCTCTGTGTCTGTGTGTGTGTGTATCTAATGGGATTTTTCTAATAACATTTAAATTGTTGGTGTTGTTATTTACTGGCTGCCTGCTAAGAATTTAATGTGAAATAGAATATAAAAATGGAGTGCATAATTTACGGTTCGCAGTCAAATAAATTGCCATTGAATATCGACTATTGCAATTAACAAACTTAAGCTAAATCAAATTACAAAAACAAACTAAAAACAACAGAAAATCCAAAAACTTCTACACATAAATAAAACTGTAAAAACAAAGTGAGAAATGTGGCACAGGTGAAAGATTTGAACAAAGTGTAAAATGCCGTCGCCAAAACACAAAATTACAAAACAATAAAATTGTGAATAGAAGTGTGAATAACGAATGAATAAATAAGGATTCAAAGTTTGCAATGATTGCTACTGATTAATACTTCAAAGAGGCGAATTTTACTAAACAAACTGATTTGGCTAGTTAACATAGCAGAATCTATGAGGCAACTCCAAAGAAATCTTTTTAAATCTCTTTTAAACTGATAAATAGATATTGAATAGAATTGATAATCAAAGTGAACCATGAAAAAATAACCAGATATTTGTAATATGTGAGAAAGTGCAAAAAGAATTTAATTTTTTCTTAACTTGTCTTAAACGAAAATATGAAATTCATTCAATAGGATAAAATGACAAACTCCTGGCCAGAAGTGCCAAACATGATGTGAAAAACAATTTTTAAGAATACAATTTTTGTTAGCTTTGATAACTGAAAAAGTCGCCAGCAAAAATCAAGTGATTATTGAAAAGCTTCTTGAAATGTTAACAAATGTGTCTAACGGATTTTTCAGGATGACTGTTAGGATATTTTGATAACCAAAGAACGCATGAAAATACAACAAAAGAGGTTTGAAATTATTTCTATGCAAACACAGAAAGACTTTAAATATGAACCTAAAACACTTCTTTGAAATAGGAGAGAAAAGTTTTCTTCTTAAGTGGATTGAAATGTGGAATATTTAAGCAATCCTTAAAATGACATGTACAGATTTCAATAGGAATAACTTTATATCGAACCAAAACTAATCAAATTCAGTGTATATTTTTGGATAACTGGTTTTTACCAACTTTGCGGATCATTTTATGAGTGTGATGAATATTAGAATATTGAGCTTTCCAACAGAGATGAATATTTATATGAAACTATGCAGCTGCATTTGATTGTTTTTTGTGTCATTTTGGATGCCACAAACTGTTTAGATCCCTCTTGTTATTCATCTAAAAGTTGAATAAACCCTAATGATTTTTAAATGTATCTCCATGTATATCATAGACTTTTAACCAACATGCAACATTTATGTGTGTTCGCCTGTTTGTTATCAGCAACATTATGGGACGACATAAAATGAAGCCAACCCGTGTGAAGAGGAGAAATCTCATCAAAAAGCTGAGATTCTGTTTCTGCTTTGAAAGCCAAGCCCAAAAAAAGCACTCAGGCAACAGCAGCAGCAACTTAGCAGCAACAGCGACTTAACAATAATCTTTACATTTAACGATGCGCTTAACAGGACTGTTGTTATTGTTGCTGTTGTTAGCAGGTGGAATCCCATCACAAACACAACCCATAAAACAACAAAAAATAGCCCAAAACGAAGGAAATATTCTATGGTCAGACATGAAACATGAAAATAAAATATAAAATACATAAATACAAATGCAAAGCTGCGTCATTAAAAATGCCTTAAAATTGTTACACGACCAAATTCAAAATCAAGTGCAATCAGCGGTGACGACAACAACAACAACAACAGCGACGAATGCATACAAAAAAAGAGAATATTCAAGTAAATAAAAAACCAAACTGAAAAGCGAACGAGCAAAAGAGCTAAGCACAAGTGCATACTATGTGTGTGTGTGTGTGTGTGTCGGTGTGAGTGTGTGAAAAAGACTCACGCTCAACGCTTTTTATTAATTCTGTTAAATATGCACACACAATAAAAAAAACACAGAAAAAAGCAGCAGAAAAGAAACAAGAATTTCAAACAAACATCAAACGTCGGTTTGTCAGGGGAGCTGAGGGGAGGGGCATGGTCTGCCGCTGCCTCTGCTCTGCTGCCTACGTGCAGTCCATTTCCCATTATGTTCCCCCTCTCCTCGGCAGCACAAAACGACTCTGCTGCTTGCCTTGCTGCCTTTCTGCCTGCTACCTGAAACTGAAATTTTCCCGCATTAGAATGCTCGCGTTCCGTCTTGCTGCTGCTGCTGCCACTGCTGCTGCTGTTGTTGTTGTTGCTGTTGGTTATGTTGCACGCGGACAACGCGACGACGTCGACAGACAGATAGAGGACAGACAATCAGCCGAGAAACACAGACGGCGGCAGCGGACGAACACCGAAAGCAAGAACTGAAAAAAATGAGAAAAAACATGCTGGCAGAAAGGGCATTGGAATGGGAGTTGATTTTATTTTTCTTCCTTTTCGGCTTCTTCTTGGCGTTTGCCCTCTCTCTCTCTCTGTGTGTGTTTTTTTTTTGTTTACCTTATGCTTTCGTTTATCGACCCGTTTTTGGTTTTGTGTGTTTTTGTGTGCTACATATGCGTTTCTTTTTCGCTCTCTCTCTCTCCTCTCTCTCTGTCCCTTCGTTCGCGTGCGCCGCTCTCGCAGCAGCAGCAGCAGCAACATAATCGCAGCTTGCATGCTTTTTTGTATCTTGTTTTTTGTTTCTCTCTCTTTGTGCGCTTTTTCCTTATTTTTTTCGTTTACATTCTTAAAGACGAAAATAAGCATTTAATTATGAATTTAATGATATGTATTTCAAGCACTTAAATGGCAGTAAAGTATTTTATTAAATTACTTTGCATATCTTACTTTTTTTGTATGCATTGCTCTTTGCTTAACATTTTGAGATGTTAGGCGCGCAGCAGCCGCACACATAGCAAGCAGCTTTGGCGCGCGTTGCTGTTAAGGCGGCTGAACGCGATTGTTGTTCGATTATTGTTTGGGAAATTTCACAGCTGTTGTGGCTCGCTAACAGCGCACTAGAGATGAGCGTCACTGTTAGCTAACAGGCAATCGGAAAAAGAAAAAAAAAACAAGTCGGGTGAAGCAATGAAAAAGAAAAAAAAACAAAACAAAACAAAACTATATTGTTTTTGTTGATAATTGTGTTCTCTGTTGTTTTTTCGTTGCTGTTCTCCACCAACATGTATTAAAAAGTGCACACACAATGTGGACGATTTAAAATAACAAATTGCTGCAGCAGCAAAAGAGCACGCGTTGTTTGCCCCCGCTGCAAAGTGTGCTCCAAAAGGTGTGGCTGTAGTTTTTTTTCCTTCTATTTTCATTGCTGTTGTTGCTTGAACTGTTAATGCATTTTATTAAATTCGTTTGTTTTTTGTTGTTGTTTTTATTTGCAGCGGCGTTGCAACTTCGCTAAGCTGCGCCGATTCCAGCACAGGATCCAGTGAGGATGCTTCCGAGCCCGGTTCACCGTACAGTGCGCACTCGCTATTGAGCGACGAGCAGCAACAGCACCATCAGCAGCAGCTAAACAACAACAACAGCAGCAGCAACAACAAGATGCCGCCACAAATACTCAGCAACAACAACAGCAGCGGTAACAGCAGCAGCAACACTGCAGCTGCAACAGCAACTGTTGCTGCAGCAACAACAGCGAATGCTGCACTAAGGAGCAACCACAACAGCACTGCCAAAATCACAACCACAACAATAGCAACAACTGCAACAACAAGTGCAACAGCAATCACACAACGCCTCAACCACAACAACAGCAACAACACAACGCTGCCTACGCTGCAATGGCCTTGGAATACAAGTCTCGGCAGCACCTCAACAGCAGTGCCTGCTGCCAGCAATCACCAACATCCCTCAGCAACAACAGCAACAGCCACAGCAACAACAATCAAGAAACGGAGCAGCAATTGCAGCGATGCCAGCCTAGCAACAATTGCTGTGGCGCCCAAAAAGTCACGCGCCGATTTAAGCAACAGCAACAGCAGCAATCACAACAACAGCAACAGCAGCAATCACAACAACAACAGCAGCAGCAGCAGCGATAAAAGACTGAAAGCCGCCGCCTTGGAGGAGTCACAAACAAAAATCACTGGCTTCTTCAAGTCACAAATGAAGGCAACAACACCAACAGCAACAGGAACAGCGGCAGCAATAGCTGGCAAACTGTCGCCGTCGCCAGCAGCAGCAGCAATTGCTGCAATTGCAACGCCCAACACGCTGACAATGAGCACGCCAGCAACAACAGCCTCGCTAAACAAATACTTTAATATACTTTCGCAGCTCAACGAGCAAAAGCAGCAACAGCACCAGCAGCAGCAGCAGTTACTCTCGCAACAGCAACAACAGCAGTTGCCGCCTAAGCCAACACCGACAGCAACAGTTGCTGCTGCAACATTGCCTGTGCCAGCGCTGAAGAAAATCGAACGCAGCAGCAAACAACCCGCGAAAATTGCTCAAGTTGCGCCCAATTTACGCAAAACGCCCAGCAGCAACAGCAATAACAACAGCAACAGCCACGCCCACAACGCCCACAGCACGTTGCATGCCACAACTGGCAAATCGCCGGCGAAAAAGCATGTTGCAATAGCGCCGCGCACGCCCGAAATGAAGCAGCAACAACAACAGCAACAGCATCAGTTGCAGTTGCATGCCTCAAAAACGCTGCTGGCAGCAGCAGCCTATCGCAACAGCAGCAACAACAACATCAGCAATAACTGTACAACAACAACAACCACAACTGTTGCTGCCAAGCCCTGCCAGAAGTTGCAGTTGGCTGCAACTGCCACGCCCACGCCGCAAGCAACGCCCACGCCGACACCAACGCCGGCAACGAATCCAACGCTTTATCAGCTGCCCGTGCATCAGTTGCCAAATTTGGTGCATTTGCCACCGCAACTTGCCGCCGCCGCCAACATCATGCAACTGAATAATGTTGCCAAGGCAGCAGTTGCTGCCGCCGCCAGCAACAATGCGGCAGCAGCAGCAGCCTCTGCGCAAGCAGCGCAGGCAGCTGCCGCACAATATTTTCTCAACGGCACCGTTTTCAAGTTGCAACAAGTCACAACGGCAACAACAACGACGGCCACAACGGCAACAGCAGCAGCAGCAGCTGCTGGCAGCAATCCCTTTGGCCTGCTCAGCACCACCAATGAGTTGCAGGAGTTGTTGCTCAAGCAGCAGCAACAGCAGCTGCAGTCGCAACAGCAACAGTTGCAACTGCAGCAGCAACAACAGGCGGCGGCTGTCAAAGCAGCAGCGGCAACAACACAAGGCGCCACCAATTTGCAGGAGCTGTTTCAGCAACAGATTGCTGCCGCCATAGCAGCACAACAGCAGCAGCAACAGTTGCAGTCGCAGCAGCAACAGTTGCAGTCACAGCAGCAACATCAGCAGGTGCAGCAGCAACAGCAGCAGCAATTTCAACGCTTGGGCGCCGCAGCAGCAGCGCAGCCAGTTTTTATGGCAACACCGGCAGGATTGCTGCTCAATGCGGCCACACTGCCAGCAATGTTGGCTCAGGCAGCGGCAGCAATCGCTGCCAACAGTCAGCAACAGCAGCAGAAAGTTGCTGCTGCAGTTGCGCTGCAACAACAGCAGCAGCAACATCATCAGCAGCAGCAGCAACAACATCATCAGCAGCAACAGTCGCTGCCGGCGCTGCAGCCTTTACCCGCGCTGAGTTCCATATTTGAGCCTGCCTCCGAGCAGCAGCAACAGTTGCAGCTGCAGCAGCAGCAACTAGCACAACTGCTGCTCACACATCAGCAGCAGCAGCAACATCAGCAGGTGCAACAACAACAACAACAATTAATCACTGCCACACAACCACCGCCGCTAACAGCTGCAAACAGCAGCGGCAACAGCAACACTGCCAACAGCAATGCCTCGAATAATTTAAGCAACAACACTGCCCAACAACAACAACAACAGCTACAGCAACAACAACGTGCCATTATCAAAGGACCACCGCCACTTGTAACCATTTCCTCCTCATCCTCAGCCTCATCCGCAGCAGCAGTCGCCTCCTCCTTGTCCTCCGGCTGCTCCTCCTCCGCCCCGCACAGCACAGCAGCAACAAAGACGCGACAATTGCCGGCGGCTTTGGCCAAGCCCTATCAAAAGCGCGCCCCACAGCAACAGTTGCACCAACAACAGCAGCAACAATCGCTGAGCAAAGCGAAATTTGCTGCAATGGCCACGCCAACAACGCCGCCACCGTTGGTGCCGACGAGCACAGCAACTGTTGCTGGCAAAGAGTTGCAACAGTTGCGTAAAAGTGCCACGCCCACAACAACGCCCACGCCGCCACTGGTCAGCATAGCGCCTGCGAAGCTAACGCCAACACTCAGCATGGCCAAGCAGCAGCAGCTGCAACAGTTGCAACCACAGCAGCAGCTGACAACAGCAACAGTTGCCAAGATCTCAAGCAGCGCAGATCTGTTCGATCTGGTGAAGAACTCAAATGGGGCCATCAGCATTGTTGGCAAGGCAACAGCAACAACAACAGCTGCTGTTGCTGGACAATTGACACCGTTGCCGTTCAGTTCGCCGAGCAGCAACAGTTGCAACAGCATTGGCAACAGCAACAATTGCGCCTCGCCCGCTTTCTCCACACACTCGTCGAGCACATTGTCCGCCTTTGGCAAGTCGCTCATCAGCATCAAGTCGGAACCGATGGAGGATTCCATGACGATGACAATGACAATGGCAACGACGCCGCACTCCAGCACACCCCTCTCCAACAACAGCAACATCAACAGCAGCAGCAACATGAAACCAACAACCAGTTTTGCTGGCCAGTTGCCGATGGCGAGGAGAGCCGCAGGTGAATCCTTGAAGCATGAATTGCTCGCCGAGTGCAATTCGAATTGCAGCAGCAGCTACAACAGCAGCAGCAATTCGGTTAGCAGTGCTGCCGATCTCTCGCTGGAGGCATCGACACCGGCATCGTTAAGCAGCATCAGCAGCAACAGTTGCAGCAACAGCAACAGCAACATACGCATGCCACAGCTATTATCCTCATCATCGTCATCGCCGGCGGGGCATGCCAGTCAACAGGATATGCTCAGCGAACTGGTCACCTCGTCGTGCAACTCGAGTGCCACAGAGGATTGCTCACAGGCAGCCACATCGCTGCCGCCCATTGCAATTGTTGGTGGCACACCAGTAGCAGCAGCAGCAGCAGTTGATACAGCTTCTTCTGTTTCCACGACTGCTGCTGTTGCTGTTGCCACAACTGTTGGGGCAGCAACAATTGCCAGCAGTGGCAGCAGCAACTATGACGAGGAGGATGACATGAAATCGGTGGCATCCTCATCAGAGACAGCTGCCACGCACAAGCGTCTAACACCCGAGTCCGGAATTGGCGGCAGTCTGAGCAACAGCGAAAGCAGCAATTCAATTGCAGATGCCATGTAAATAACAACAACAGCAGCAGCAGCAACAGCAACAGTTGCTGCCTATTTATGGAGAACTCTTTTTATTCATTTATTTCCCATTCTTTTTTGTAGTTCCACAAAATCGATTTGTCCGCCTGCCTCGGCGAGCAGCAACAGTTGCAATGCCTCCTCGGACAGCAATTTGCCGTCACCCGCCTCGCCAACCAGCAGCAGCAACGATGATTGCTCTGGCTCCGGTTCCGGTTCGGGTTCCGGCGCCGGTTCGTCGCCACATCATTTGATCTTGTTGAGTGCCACACCCAGTCCGAGTAGCAACAACACCATTGTGGATACCACAATCGATGTTGCCACACTGCCCAAATGCGCCATTTCCCCGATACTCTCACAGCCGAAGACGATCCGGTTTCCGGCTGGCGCCGGAGCGGGAGCGAAGGGTGCCAAGCGGCACGACGGCGTCTGCTATTGGGATAAGTGCAACAAGAAGCACGAGAGCAACTCGAAGCTGTTGGACCACATGCAGACGCATCATGTGAATACGCAGACGGGTCCGTTTGCCTGCCTCTGGGTCGGTTGCAAGGTGTACAACAAGGAGTCCTGCTCCCGTCGCTGGCTCGAGCGACACGTCCTCTCCCACGGCGGCTCCAAGCAGTTCAAGTGCATCGTCGAGGGCTGCGGTCTGCGCTTTGGCTCACAGGTAAGTGCTAATAATAAATAATATATTAATAATAATAATAATGGCAACTAATTCGGGTTTTATTCTTTTTGTTGCAGTTGGCACTGCAGAAGCACGTGAACAATCACTTCAATGCCACCGACAATGCCAAGGAGAGCACCAGCAAACGCACCTCGGATCCACCGGTGCCCAAACAGTTGCGCAAGAATGGCAAGAAGCTGCGATATCGTCGACAACCCTTCTCAGGTGAGTGCAAGCATCTATTGGAAAGTATATTCGGATAGTCGGTATTATTAGGAGTCTGCTTTAAGTAGAACACAAGAAAGAACAGCCTTAGGATACTTACCGGTCGCTTGACAGATTTTGTGTAGGAGAGGAGGAATCCTCGATGCACATCCTAGCAGAATGTGTCGACATAACTAGCAGAAGACGCAGCAGCCTAGGGATGCATGTTATTCATGTGCAGAGATCCTCACATTCGTGCGGGAACTGGGGCTGATGGAAGATTGGCTACAGGCTCAGAAGGGGGCACAATAGATCGAGTAGGACGCGGTGCAATTATTCAGCACATCATTTTCATATAATGAGTGACTAGCAGTCGAGAGAGCAAATTGCATTACTATTTTCTGAATTTCAGAGAGAATTTCTTGCTAGAATCATTTGCATTTCTATTAACAGAATAGTCAAAGTTGAACAATATTCCCATATTATGCATAAAAACGTTTTAATTTATAATTATCTCCATCTCTGTTTGCAGCTCGCATGTTTGATTTCTTCGATACGGGAATTATGGAGGGACTGCAGCATCGTCTGCGCCAGATAAGCACGCTGACCAACGGAGCACAGGCGATAACTTTTCAGGGTCAGTGTGTGATGCGACGACGCAACAGTCAAGGAGCCAACGAGTGCTTCGTGCGCTGGTCGCCACGTGAGATGTAAGTGGAGCGGAATAGACATGTAATATGAGTACTGGTAATCAATTGCTAATCAAATCCCTTCTTTAGCATCTCTGATGAGTGGCTGCCGGAGTGCTCGAATCGGACGCGGCAACACACAAAGGTGTTGCACATCAAGCACATGCGACCCGCGGAGAAGACGCGCATCGACAGCCTGCTGAGCACCGCTTACAGATTACGCTACGATGCCCAGCTCTTTGCCGACGACTACAATGTCAACGAGCAGCAGCAGCAGCAACAGCAGCTGCTCAGGCAACAGCAACGGATGGATGCCGAGGAGCAGCTGAGTGGCAGCGATTGTGCGCAGAGCGATGATGAGGCACAGGATGAGGACGACGACGACGACGACGACGATGATGATGACGATGAAGATGATGATGAAGATGGGGAGGAGGACGATGATGATGATGACGACGACGATGATGGCGTCTCAGGCACAATTAGTTCAAGCAGCGGCACCGTGTCCAGCTATCAGCAGGTGCTCAGCATTGCCAAGCTGCAAATGCAACAGCGACGCAAACATCCAAGAAAACCGCCCAAAGCAAACACAACAACAACAACAGCAAGAGGAGTTAATGTGGTGCCAACGGATGCACTGGTGCCCATTTAGAAAAGTATTGACTAAGTAATTAAACACACACCCCACACACAGACACACACACAGACACCCTCATAAACACACACACACCCCACACAACCCCCCCAAAGGACAAACGAGTAAACAGTGACAAGTAGTTTATAGATTTTTATAAGGACTCCAACCCACATAGACACACAACGACACACAACAACACACGCATCTACTTTAAGGCCATTGTAACATACATTATATATATAGATATATATATATTTAGTATATATACATATAGAAAGCAGACCGCTTGCAGTTTTTAGATAAAAACACGAGAAATGTACAGAAAAATCGCTTCAATATCATCCAAAAACCAAACGCGTGAACAAATTTTAACAAAATCTTTTTTTTTTTTTTAAATTAAATTCGAAATTAAATTTGATTTTGCTGAAGAAATATGCTAGTAATGTTATCTGTAATCTTAATTCGTTTATAGCATTTATGTTTAGCCTTTATTTTATGTAAATTGTGAACTGTTAACTGCCTAAAGAGAGAGGAGAGAAGAGAGAGAAGCAAGTGGAAAGAGGAAGATGAAGAAGACCGCCGCAGACAAGACTTGTTTTCAAAATCAAATCCATTATCATTAAAAACATGTTTTACTTTGTTTTGATTTTTGTTCGCCCCTTTCCCAAACAAAAAAAAAACAACCTTCCAAAAATCAAACGCACAGCACAGAAAACAACAAAAACAACAACAACAACAAGAATAAGACTTGAAGCATTTATCGCTAAAATTGTTTATAATTATATAATTATGTACTCAATTCGAACAGCAATGCAAAAAAAAAAAAAGAAAAACAAAAAAAAACAGTTTTTAAGTTTTCTAGCCACAGTAATAATATTTGTAAAGAATATAAACAAATTAATGTAGTCGAAATTTTTGATATAATTATTGTCGTCGTCTAGTTGGATTTTGAGTAAATGCTATCTGTAAATATTTATACATAATTAATTAAATAATTTTGCTCTTAGTGCGTTACAATTAAAATTCACATACACAAAACAAAAATCAACAAAAAACAACAAAAAAAAAAACAACCAACATAAGAAATCAAAATAAAAAAACACCATTTTCACAATTTTTTACTTTTCATATTTTTATTTATTGTTAAATGTATATTTATATATATATATATACATATTTTACAACCAAACAACAGTCCATGGTTAAGTTCAATGCAACAATTTGTAGCAGAAACAATAATTAACTATAATTTTTCAAAGCCAATGAATTAATAAGTGTTTTTTTGTTTGTGTAAAGTTTAACAAATTGTAAAAAATAAGATTATGCAAATCAGAGATAATACTTATAAACTATATAGAAGAAAACAACCCTAAAGAGTACTCAACACTGCCAAAGCGAAATGAATACAACAACAAGAATAACAAGAACAACAACAAACGACAACAGTTTAAGAACGACTGATAAATGTATAAATATCAAAAGCAAATTAATTTATATATATGCATATATATATATGTATATATAGAGCAACTGCGATCTTTCGTAATTCTGATTTCGCACAAAGCTTTTTGTCATACGTTGCAATAACAATAAAAATGCAAATAAATTTCACATTAGTATATATTAAATATATATATGTACATATATATATATGTATATGTGTGTATTGTAGCTGCGCCTATATTCAAGATTAAGTATTGCTTAGTTAGTTAGTATTCCCTATTCCCGATCGATTAAGTTCGAGTACGTAAAATTAGTTTCAAGCGTCTAGCTGCAAACTGTATACAAGAAATGAACCATATATATATATATATATATATATATATATATATATATAAAGAACTAGGTACCATATATAATATATAGATGTGTAGATAGCGCCTACAAGTCTGATGGGCGCATAACACTTATGGCATTGTACTTCCTTAGTACATACGTATATGTATATATTATTATGCATGTGTACATATTATGTATGTCTGTTTTTTGATGATAATTGAGATGAAAATGTTGCATTTTGTAAATGTTGTAGGCTATATAACAAATTGAAAGCAATACCTAACAAACGCCTATAAATACTAAATATATATGTATATACTCTGTATATGTATATGTTCTGAGTTAAACCAAACATTTTGGATTGCCTAATATAAAAGATTCTTCGATATTTTGTACCGCAACACAAAACGTAATGAGAGAAAATTCAAATAAAATAAAACTACCTCAGATTTTTGCAAGCATAGAACAAAACAAAACAAAACAAAAAAAAGAAAAAATTAAATACAAAACAAAGAGCATAGGAATTTTTCGAGACAAGTTTTCTAAAGAACATTTAAGATAGAATAAACTATATATATTTAAATATATATGGTTAGCTGTCGTCACATTCAGCCGAACAAGGGAAAGTATACAAAGCAACAACATACAAAAAAAAATAAATAAAAAAATACAAAAACAACAAAAAAAGAAGAAAATACTCTTAAATACGTAGGTTAAAAACTGCATATTTTGCTAATTATAATTATGTAAGCGCAATTCTTAGAAAACTTAAGATCCAGTTCTTCTCAACCTTCCTCAATCCTTCCTGTCCGTATTTCATCGTAAAAAAACAACTTTCTACTTCCAATTGAGAATCCTTTCCGGAAAATTGCCTTTTACGCTATGCTAAATTTTCGTTTTGTAAATAGTTTATTATGATATACAAGACATATATAAGTAATATCATAATATAAATTACTAATAATGCAAACCGCTTTAATAAATTAAACAAAACAAAAAAAGGAAAGAAAATGAAAACATTAATGAAGCAAATAATAATAATTAAAATCCATTATAAATTAGCAAAGAAACAAAATGCATACAAAGTATTTCAGAACTTATGAATAATTTTAGAGCTCGCCAAGCAAAAAATAAACAATTGATTTAACATTTACTTTCGTGGCCCAGATCCTGGCCAAAAGCAACAACAACAGTTATCAGCAGCAGCTGCAGCAGCTGTTCGAGATTGTAACTAATGTAATCAAAACGAAAAGAGAACATTCTATACATAAAGAAGATATAAATATATATTATATATATTAACTCTACATATACACAACTTAGCATGTACAAGTGGAACAGACAGTAACAGAACATATATATATAAATATATATATATATATATATATATATATATATAAACGCTGATGAAAAGAAATTATATAGAGGCAAGAAATATTGAAAACAGCAAAGTGTTTTATTTCAGTGTATTCAAAAAGGGTAAGTAGTAGAATGTAATTACCGATTTGCGTTAAAGGATTTTCAGAATTCAGAGCTTTTGGGTTCTTAGATGACCCATAATCTTGGAGTGCAGTTCGATAGAATTTGTCCTTCCGATTCCAACGAACTAATCCTTTAAAAATCTGCACCGATTTGGCCGAATTAGGGCATTGTCCTTGTCACCTGTATACTCCTGAAAGTATGCCACAAATATTTTGCTTAAGGGAAATTCAGCCAATGCCACAACCTGATTGGTGTACTGGCTATACCAAATAGCAGGCGCTCGGAACCTCAGAACAGGCTGTTAACTCAAATTTCAGCTTTCACTCTCACTCAAAGTTCGACTCAACTTTAACTTTCGCTCGTTGAGCTGACGCCGACAAAAGTATGCAGCAAGATTGTTGACTCCTTTTCAGGTTAGTGTAGCTGTATAAAAGAATAATAATATACTACCAAAATAAAAGTTGCACATGTTTTTTTTTGGAAATTAGAAATTACAATTTATTTCATACAATGTCTGTTGTTGTTGATTTGCTTTTGATGTTGTTTATCGAATACACAGTTACAGTAGTTGCTCTAAACCCTTTATCATCGATCGTATTTATATATATATGCATTATGTGTGGATGTTTTACAGTTTTGTTGGCGAATGCAAATAACAATAAAAATTCGCAAGAACAACAACAACAGCAACGACACGACGAACACAAAACAATTGCCTTGTTAATTCACAGACGCGTACGTGCTATCAACACCCCCTCCCCCTCACCAACAACAACCCAGCCACCCACCACTGACAAAGCAGAGAGTGAGAGGAGAGTTGGTGGTGGTGGGAGTGGGTGGGGTGTTAACAGCGCATACAGTGTGTGTGAGACAAGCAAAGCTTTACATATACATACATACACATATTATTGTCAAGTGTTGTAAAGCGCTTGTTTGTTCTGCTTTTGCTTCTTCTTCTGCTTCTATTCTCGCGTTGTTGTTGCTGTTGTTGTTGTTGTAGTGAATTCACCGCAAGCTTGCTGGCACAAACTGTCAAGCAGAGACGTGACGGATTGTGGGGGAGGAGAGGGTTGGACAGAGAGTTGGGAGCAGCCCTGCACAGGTTGGTCACCTCCGCGCTCTCAGCATCACGATTGCATCGGCAGCCAACGGGCAGGGAACTAGTTGCCCTCACATCCAAGCCAGCCCCTCTACTCCTGCCTCCCTTTCATCACTTCTACGCGCCTCCACATTGTGAGCTGCTTGCTTGGTGTGTTGTTGTCTCTGTTGTTCTTATTGTTAACTCTATACACAAATTGTTGTTGTTATTTGCTTAGCATACAAATCGAGTTGTTCTTGTTGTTGTTTCGTTTTGGGGTTTTTGCATAACTTCTAATTTGTTGGGATTTTACAATTTTTTTGTTGCATTTTTCATACGTTGACAATTTTGCTTTTGTTGTTGTTTTTGTCTACGCTTTTCGCTTTTTTTTTTGTATTTATAGTTTTTGCTTGCACGACTTTTGTTGCTGTTGTTGTTTGCTGGTTTTGTTTTTATAATTTTGCTACTACATTTTCATGTTAATATTTTATACATAATATATATTTTATATATATATAATATTTGTTTTTCTTTACTATACAATAACAGCGGAAAAATTGTGTTTTATGTTTTTGTGTGTGTGTGATTTTTAATTAGGTTTCGATTTTTGTTTTGCTTTCATTACCATATTATTTATCATATTTTTTCTCATTCTTTTGATGATTTGTATTGTTTCGTAATTTGCATTTTTTTTTTATAACAACTTTTTCATGTTAATATGTATAATTGTTTATCATTCTCTTGTACATACATATATATGTATATATATTATGTATATAAATACCGCGTAATTGTTGTTTTTTGTTTGTATTACAATTTTTTATGTATTTTCTTATCACAAAAAAATCATAATTATATATATATATATAATTTATTATTATTAATTTTTAATATATTATTCTTAGAATTGAACAATAATTAAAAATAAACATAGGACTTAGTTACATTTTGTATGCGTGTGTGTGTGTGGTATGTGTGTGTGTTTATGATTGTATGTAGTTGGTTTGTTGTTGCAGTTGTTGTTGCTGAAGTATTGCCAAGTAATTAATTTGTTGTCTTTTCCCCACCAACAACCATTTGCTGTTAGCACTGCGCCAGTGTTGCCCTATTTGCGAGTGCAGCATTTTCATTTTGTTGTTGGATCGTGTTTTGTTGTTGTTGTTGTTTATTACTCATTTATTTGTTGTTGTTTGGCCCTTTTCGCTAAATTTGTTTTGTTTGCTTGCTGCACAGCTGTTTGCAAATTTACAATTGTTGTTGTTGGTTGTTGTTGTTTTGTTTGTTTCTTTACAGTTTGTTAACGAATTTTACATATACACTAAACATTATTTAATAATAATAATGGAAAAAACAAATAACAAAGAGCACACGTTTTGTGGAGCGCAAAAAAATAATAATGATATAGAAAATAAAATGTAAAAAGAAGAGACAAATTTGATATTTGATTACAAACTTTATGAACTTAACTGCAAAATTGATTTTTTTTGTTGTTTTTTTTTTTGTTTTGAACGGAAATAATAAATCTAAACTAAACAGAGCACCAGCAATTTAGCAATGTAAAAGAAAATAGGAAAAAATAAACACTTGTTGTTGTTGTTGTTCGTGTTGCACACACTGGAAAAAGTGCGACAATGTGGCAGCAACACTGGCGTCCAACTCATCATCAAATTGCAGTTGATTATAATTGTTATTTGTTTTTTGTTTTTTTGCTATATACAAACGGCCACCAGAGTTGCCACCAAGTTGCGATTCTTTTTTCCTTCCTTTTTCAATATTTGTTGGATGGTTTTTTTTACTATATATTTGATACACTTTTTACTTGCAGTTGTTGTTGTTGATTTTGTTGTTGTTGATTGCTGGGCTGTTTGTCTACTTGTTGTTGTTGGTGTGTGTGTGTGTGTGTGTTGTTGTTGTTTGAATTGATTGATTTATTTCGTGTACAGATAGATGGCAACAATCAAACCGTAGAGACCCAACACTTCGGCGAAGATGAGAATCAGGATCATGCCGACAAACAGACGAGGCTGCTGTGCTGTGCCACGAACACCGGCATCACCAACGATACCGATCGCAAAGCCGGCTGCCAGGCCCGAGAAGCCCACTGACAACCCAGCACCCAAATGAATGAAACCCCTGTTGGATAAGGAATGGCGATTAATTAACATGTTCCATATAAAATATATATATAGTTAGTGTCATACTCACTTGTATAAGGTATAAGTTACGGGCGTATCCAGTTGGCCGGCAATCAGGACAGCGACGACCAGACCGTAAATGGCAATGATACCCGCCATGACCACAGGAATGATGGATTTCATGATCAGTTCAGGACGCATCACTGACATGGCAGCAATACCGGTACCAGACTTAGCCGTGCCATAGGCGGCGCCGAGTGCTAAAAAGAGGACACAAAAAGTATATAAATATTTGAGTAACATTTATTGGGTAATTTCATTACAACGGTCACCACACATCAACTAGACAGCAAAGGTTAAAGGTTAATTTCCCAAATACCTTTAAAATAATAGATATTTCATCATTCATAAATCACACTAACTATACAGCGAACAGCAAATGTGAAAGGTTAATTACCCTTCACAAAGAAGAGAGAATAAATAACCTTAAAATTAGAAAAAAGCATTCTATTTTAAAAATGTAAAAAAAACCTTTATTTGAGCTGAGACAATTAGCATAGGTTCACACTGATTGAACAAACAGCTCTGCTTAAGTAATTATAGATCAACTTTCGCTATTGCAGTCTTGAGCCTATTTTATCTCTGGGATCACACATACCTTATATAATTGATCATATTTTCAAATATATCCCCCAAACCCATACCAGCAAATTCTAGCCAACTTCTGTAAACTAACGTAACATTTTAGCAGTCAGTCACAGTCACAATCACATGACCGACCCACATAACGAAAAAACAAACTAGACACACACACAGACAGACAGATACACACACACAAATATAACAACTGCCTCAACAGTCTGTCTGTCAGAGAGTTGCTATTTCAGTGGATTTGACTCTCTTTCATATTTGGTTGCCTACCCGGCCCGGTGCTGCTCTCATTACGATATTCATTTGATAAGGTCGACTTAATGGGAAGAAGCCAAAGTGCTAAAGTTGCCAAATGGCTAAATTAATGTACAATACAATTCAGCATGTACACGACATATAAAGAGAGGTATATATATATATATATATATATATATATGTATATGTTTGCAGCACGCGCATTGAATATTGAAATATAAAACCAGTTTCATATGACGGTCAATGGTATTTGTTAAATAAATGTTGAAAACAGCTAATTGCGCGTGTGTATGTGTGTTTGTGTGTGTTTGTTGAGTGGAGCGGTAATAAATCGAATTTATACACGCATATTCATGCATTCAAAAAATACTGGTAGTTTAAAAGAGAGGGAGAAACAGCAACAACAATAAATGCACATCTGTGTGAATAAAAGATAAGTGCGTTTGTGTGTGTGTGTGTGTGTGTGTATGTCTCGAATTCAGAGTTAACGTTAATGCTGTGGCAGCTGAGACTGAGTGAGTGGGAGAGGGAGATAGCTACTACAGTCGCTGCCTGCGTTTAAATGTCATGTGATTTATATTAATGCTAATTAACTGTATTTTTCTCTAAAATTGATATTCTACAAGTGCAAATTGAACGAAGGGCTCTCGCTAAAATACATATTGATTGAAAATAAATACAATATCGTGAAAAAAAATCTATTCATTTTTTAACGAGGCTTTGCTTAAATAAAAAAACCACAAAACTGCATAATTTTTGCTCATATATGTACATACGTCATTCATAACCACGTACACCAGCATAGAAACCGGAATTCACTTGATATTAATTTTATTATTTATTCTGCTTTGCTAGCTAATAAAAAATTCACCTACAGACGTCGCTATCGAAAAGCTGAGCAAACAGAAACACATTGAAAACTTGTCGTCGTCGATTTTGCTTTCCTAATCGAAGCCCAGTTGAAATGGTCATCGCCTATCGGGGACTTCCAAACATGTTCAGTAAATATTTATAAATGTGTGTGTGTGTGTTTGCTCAAATAAAACTCAATATACGTACATTTAATAGCAATTATTCAAAAATTCATTGAGTAAATTGAGAGAGAGAGAAACATGTTAGAGTTGTGTGAATTGATCTCAGGCAAATAATTTAATTTTTTAAATAAGAAATGCTTTTCCGGTTCTGTTTTTACATAATATCGCTAACTAACGCTAAAGCAAGTGCTTTTTTATTAGCACCATATACACATTTAGATAACACAATTTGTTTAAAAATACGTCACAGTTTTTATTTTGCAAAAATTAACATCCTGACTGATTAACAACTGATCAAAAATTGTACATGCCTATTAAATTTGGATGCCGACTGTAAAGGACTGCCAGTGTGTACACACACAAATTGATCAATTTACGTATACAAAAAATGTATTACTACTAGATTGACCTCAGCGCTGCACTGCATTTTAAATGTGCATATATCCATTTGTTATTAATAAATATGTATTTGGTGGCGGGGGTGGTTCTTTTTAACTACTCATCGTGTGATAGACGCATGGCAGACAGTGGCGTGGGAGCTCTGCTAAAAACACAATATACAATACACAAAAACCGCTACTAGCAGCTAGCTAGAGAAGAGGAAGCAAGGCGAGCCATAGAAACAAAAACAAACAAGCAGCAAAGCACCCAGCACATTTTTAGATAAATATAAATGTGAAAGTAGCAAGAAACAAATAAAAATATATGTATGTGTGTGTGTGTTGTGTGTGTGGCCACCAGCAATTAAAGCGTCACATTTGAGCGCGCGTACAGAAGAATCCCAAACAGCAATATTTGAGCAAGAGAACAATAGAGAGAGGAGAGTGAGTAGAAGCAGCTTATCAGAAAGTGCTCAATGAGAAGAGAGATGCTCGATTTCGATGCTGCTGTTGCTCTCATTGTTGTTGTTGCTGTTGTTATTGTGTGTGACAAGTGAAAAAGTCAAAGGCATTGGAATGCACAAACACAAAAAGATAAAGAATAGAAACATAACATTATTTGTACATTGTTTCCAAGTATCTTAATTGTTCTCGAAAAGACATTTTAGCTTTTAGCTGTGGGTTTATAATCATACAAACACGCACTCACACAAAAATCAGCAAGATTGCAGATTATTCCGCTGACAAGTTCAGTTAGCTTTTTCATGCGTAATCCGAGTTCGATTAGATAATTTGTCAGCAGACAGGATGTGCGCACATGCACTTAAGTAGATAAACACATATGTTTATGTAGATTAATCATATTAATTCACAGTTATTGTTAATTAATTGTAGTGCAAGCAGCAGATAAAAGGCATTCTCACACACGCACATATGGACATTTTACCCTACCACGTTTTGTGCTGCTTCCATATCTTTTGCTCTCTCTCACTCAGATAAAAACAGGGTCGTCATATACAACAGCGCTTAAAAAATAGTCAAGCAGCTGCTGTTGCTGCTTTTGATGCCCATAGAATTTTTTTGCAAGTTTTTTTTAGAGGCAGTGAAAAATAAACATAAGACGCTGCAGCACGTGACATTTAGAGCATATCACTTTTTACATAATTAACACACATACAAATAATATACATGTGTAAATGTGTATGTACCCTTTTTACTATCATATTTGATATGTATATATATATATATATATATATATGTAAATATGTAAATGTATCTACTACTATTTTGAGACTGCGTTTGCGCAGGCAACAAGCAGCATGTGGGTGTAAATTGATGATGTGTGTGTGGGTGAATGTGTGTGTGTCAGGCAGTCGTCTTGTGAAGGATATCTGAAACAGTGGGCAGCACTGATAAAACAAAAATAGAAAGAGAAGAAACAAATGCACACAAAGCACAAAGCAACGCCCATTGTGCGGCTATATTGACAGTCAATGAGTCAGCCAGAAATCAGTCACAGCATTTTTTTTAACTGCAAGTAAAACAATTCAAGGCTTGAGCGGTAGCTTTACTCGCTCTCACTCTCTGTCTCTCTCTCTGTTGATCATGTGATCGTGTGAGCGGTCTACCAAGCAGCAGAGCGTTGCCAGACATCGGCCATCGGTCATTACATGCAAATATATGCTGACAATAAGTTTTGTTTTTTTTTTTTCTCCTGTCAGTTGGTAATTGAATAAAAATGTTCTGTTGGCAGCGGCTTAAAATGAATTATGTTGTTGACTTTAATTACATAAGAGACGACAGCGACGGGTGCGATATCTTTGTTGCCATGTCAACAAGAAGAAGAGACGTCTTAGCGCTATCTACAAAATGTATTTTTATTTAGCGCTCTACGCTAATAAGCAAAGTAAATATTAAAGCCGAGCAAACTTTGCGTTGTTGTAGGAAATCACAAGACTATTGTATTTGATGCATGACATAATAATTATGGCATTGATTTGTTTGTTTGTGGTTTATTAATCAAAAATCTACTATTTAAAATGTTTTGACCCTTTTACTTCCCTTTCCTTCTCAATCGTTTTATTCGTGTTTAAACATTTAGCATTTAGAATTGAAAAGCGCGTGCTACTTTTTGAATTCTTGGTGTGCTTGCTTTCTTTACTTAATTCTCGGCGTTTCTCTTATCTTATCAGACACGAGCTATTGGTAAATACCCCAGTGCCACTTTATCAGGCTAAGGTAAGTAATATAAAATGTGAATGATAAGCTATATTTGTGAGAGGCATGTGATGCCTCCAATTTGCCTTGGGTGGATTCAATTGATCATGCAAGACTGATGAGGTAAAAAAAAAAAACAAACAAAAAACAAAGTGGCATGTGATTACGATTATAATGTGATTACTACAGGTGATTGAGAAATATGACAAACCATTCAATTTATCATGGGTTTGTACACACAATTCTTGTGATCAGTTAACAATAGGCCTTAAAATAAATAAATGCACGTGATAGTGCACTTAACACCCTTATCATCATCATCTATTTACTGCCCATATAAAATTAAACAGTTATTGCATTCGGAAGCCCCACACATTCTTCATTCTACATTCTTATACTCAGTGCAAGATAAACTAAGAAGAAAAAATACTTCAGTATGGCAACACCAAAATGTTGGTCTTGTGACTGAGTGGGAAAAGGAAAGCGAGCTTCTCGTCATAAACTTCACATACAAAAAAAAAAACCGTAACTCTGCGCTCACACTCATACAATCCGAGTACAATGACAATGGCTGGCACGAGAGCGTGCGCAACTCTCTCTCTCGCTTCCTCTCTTTCTGTACACCGCTCTTGCCTTTTATCTGCCGCTCACTTGCTGAGTGTGTATGAGTAATGCCGTTTTTAGCATGTCGAATGAAAAAAAAATGCAGCAAATTTCTAATTTCGATGCTGCCATTTTTGTGTTGTTTGCAAATAAAAGCAATTAAATGCGCAGTGTTTATCTCAAAATTCAAAATAATTGAATATTTATTTATGTAATAAGGCTGGGCTGCGGCTGCTATTAACTATTCTATTCTGGTTAAAACATGATTTTTGCTCGTCACGCGCATTTCAAATTGGACTCTAACTCAACACACACACATGTACACGATTACGTGTACATATGTTGTGTGTGTGACTGACTGCTCTGCGTGTATTGAATTTTTTTATACACTGCCTGCCGCTACCTACAAACGTGCCTACATACATTTTTTTTTATTTTTTGCCTTGCTGTCTAGAGGTGCTTCCTCTTTTTCCTTTTCTTCTTCTAGCATCTACGCCACAAAATGTTCGATTTTTCTACGCATGCAGCGCTGCGTGGAGTTTGATTTTCTTTTTTTTGTTGGTTATGGGGGGAAAAATAAGTGTAACTCACCTGAGAAGATAATGGCGGACGCAGCGCCCATAACACCGAAGAAGGGGCCATAGATGGGGTTTTCGGGACTCAGTTGCTCTGTAGACGACATTTTGCTTTGTTTTTTTTGTGTTTTTAGGCTACAATAACAAAATGAAAATCGAAAATTGAATTCGTTGCTTTTTATTTTTGGTTTATTGCACTTTTTATTTATTTAATGTTATAGATCGGCGCGTTTTAATATGCTTTGCAAGTGTATTATGGGGTGAAACAAAGTATTTTTATTACATATACAATATATATATATGTGTACAAAATATTTTTCTTGCGCTGCTTTTCGAACCACAATGCTGCTGCGACGACGTACGATTTGTGAGTGAACGACGCGTTGCGAGAGTGCGAGCGAGAGACCGTGAGAGTAAAATACATTCGCCGCGGCTCGCCGTCTCACACAATTATTGAATTTTATCTCGAGAGAGCCCTTATCTATGTATTTGTGTGTGTAAGTTATGTGCCTATGTGTGTGTGTGTATGAGCGCATGACGGAATGAGCTCACATAAAAAAAGTCCAATTGGCAATGACAACGCTCTGGAAAATTACACACACACACATGCATAGTCACATGCAAACACTTCGTTTTTCGAACACAATTGTCAAGATTTGCGCGTTTTTTTAAATTCTTTTTAATACTGACTCAAATTCGCAGCAATTTTTACGCTCACCGCGCACACTCTCTCTCACACACACACGCAAATACTATTACTCGTTCATTGTCATTGTGTTTGCATGTGTGTGTATGTGTGTCGTGGCAGAAAATACTAATCTTCGTACGATTTTTGCTTGTTTTTTCTATTGTCTTGCTAGTTACTTTATTTGTAGGTTGCGATTAGTCGCAGCAGCTTTGTTGTTGTTGTAATTAATTCATTTACGATTGCGCCTCATATGACTTGATTGTGAAGTTATTTTTTTCACTCACGTGATTAGAAATCTAATTTAAAGCAACTCGCTCTTGTGGCTGGCCTTTCGGGTTTATTGCTGGCTGCTGCTGCTCTGCTGGGCGACTAAAGCACGCTGATTTTTGATACGGCACTGAACTCCTACGCTGCGTTTGCATTTGCTTTTATAAACTTTAGTCACGGGGGCGGATTTTCAGTAGTGCTACTTCTTGGCTTGCTATCGATATTTATGCAATCTGACGTTTTACAACACAACATGAACGACTATCAAGGCGTCTATGATTTTGATTGGTATTTTTTTTTTGTTGGGTATTTGATATTTGGTGCTTTTGTTGGTATTTGTATTCTAAATATTTATAATTTGAATATAATCAGTGTTAGTTTAGTATTTTTCTAAAGCTTTCGATAACAGTGTGTTCATATTGGTGAGTAGCATGCGTGGATCCTCAGCGAGACCGGCGCCAACCATCGCATTGGCAAACAGCTGCTTGGTGATGAGCAAGGCCAATTCAGGTTCGCTCGTGCGCAGGGAATGCAGCTTCTTGATGATGGGATGTCTACAATAGAAAAATACAAAGACGTTAGAATTATGATTTAACTAATATGCAAGCTATCTTAAATTTAGTTTAAAAAGAGTATCGGAATGTTGAATATTATTTAATATAATATATATTTAAATAATATAATTAAAAATAGACCATTTACTCACTTGGGATTGATTTCCAGCTCCGGTTGCAGCAGTGCAAAACGATTCTCTTCCGGCAACTGATGGCTTTGGGTGCGTATAAAATGACGAGCGGCTGCCATTTCCTCCACGGTGATGACACAGGGATGGGTGTCCAGGCGCGAAGTGACCTTCACCTTGGCCACCTGACCCTTGAGCTGATCTTGCAGCCAGGGTATCAGGCTATCCAGTTCGCTGCTCAACAGACTACCCTCGCCATAGTCCTGGAGAGCAGCCGGATCCTGTGACTGATTGCGCATCTCCTTCTCCACAGAGACGAGTTTCTTGCTCTTGAACTGACCCAGCTGCATTAGGACAAGTTCATCATATGGCTCATAGCAGAAGAGCACAAGCTCATTGCGCTTCTTCAGGCTCTCGTAATATGGCGAGGATTCGGCGAGTACACGATTCGGTGCCGCCAGATAGTAGATATCCTTCTGGTCGGCGCTAACCGATGTGTAGTAGTCATCCAAGGAGATGCGTTCCGTTTCCGATTTGGATGACTCGAAGCGCAACAGCTTGGAAATCTCCTCTTTCTCGGCGCTGTCCGTGGAAGTGACGATGCCCTCCTTGAGGAACAGGCCATAATCCCGATAGAATGCTGCATATTCCTCGGGCTGTTTCTTGGCACGCTCCTGCAGGAAGCGAATCACACGACTCGTAATCACACTCGACAATTTCCGGATCAAGCTATTATTCTGCAACAGCTCACGGCTGAGATTCAATGGTATATCCTCCGAGTCCACAACACCCTTGACAAATCTCAGCCACTTGGGCAACAAATTCTCCGTCTTCGACTGGATGAGCACCTTGCGCGTGTAGAGTGCGACTCCAGTGCTGCCATCCCGCGACATCTCAAAGAGTCCGGGTTTACCCTCCGGGAAATAGAGGAGAGCATGAATGCTCAACGGAACATCCGCATTGTAGTGCAACGTGAAGCGAGGCGCATCGAAACTGTTGCTGATGAAACGATAGAAATCATTGTGCTGCTCGCTGCTAATGCTCTGGGGATCCATTAGCCACAGTGGCTTTATCTCATTCGCCTGCTTCCCGTTCAGCAAAATGGGTGAGCCAACAAAATTGCTGTATTTCTTGATCACCGCCTGGATGCGATCCTCATCCGCATACTCACGGCAATCGGTCTTCAGATGCAGCACAATCTTGGTGCCATGCTCCACATCGGGCACTTCCTCAATCAAATACGAGCCGCTGCCATCTGTGGACCAGCGCAACCCGGGCGCATCAGGAGTCGAAGCACGCGTGTAGACCTCAACCCGCTGGGCAACGATAAACGAGGAATAGAACCCAACACCAAACTGACCAATTATATTGGAGCTGGTCTGGGCCGCTTGCTGGTTCTGCTTCAGTTCCTCGAGAAACTTTTTGGAGCCGCTGCGAGCAATGGTGCCCAGGTTGTTGACTAGTTCCTCGCGTGTCATTCCAATGCCCGTGTCCTGTATGATCAACTGCATCAACGGTTTATCCGTTGTAATTCTAATCTCCAGTGGGCGATCCTTCGCAGCCAGCTCGCCCCCGGTCGTGCTCAGCGCTGTATAGCGAAACTTCTCCAGTGCATCGCTGGCATTCGAGATGAGCTCACGGACAAAGACCTCATGATCCGAGTACAAGGAACGAGCCACAATATCGAGTAATTGTCGTGTTTCTGCCTGAAATTCATGTCTATCAGCGCTCGGCGATTCCTGGGCAGCAGTTGTCAGGCGACGTTGTGGCAGCACTGCAGTGGAATAGCAAATATTTAGTATCTTTTAACAGCTGCACTGCAATCAACTCACCTGTGGGCAGCTTTTGGAATTGTTGATTGTTCAGCGCCCAACTGCCGACGCAATTTACTTGCCGGCTGAGGCGACTCAGTTGACGGGCCTTGAGCAGCACACCAAATGCACGCATCGACATCTTTTTGGGTAAATTTATTATTATTCAATAATTTAATTATTTTTTTTATTATTGTTCACACAAAATTTACTAAAATTACGTCTAAGTCTAAACAGAAGTTGAAATACAAGTGTTATTTAACTTGACGAGGAGCGCACATGTGTTCGATTACCGATAAATGGGTGTAATCGATGTTTTCTTTTTATTGCGTACTTTACAGCACTGTGCAGCTAAATATATTTTTAGTTAATTTTAAACAAATATTGAAACAGATAATATACTACTGTGTGGAATGAGCATACGTATTTGTATGTATATTTGACTTAAATGTAAATTTAGAGTAGTAATGAAATTGTTATCCAGCGCTTGCTTGACATATTTTTGCTTTTAAGCTATTATTTATTTGCTATTTTCCATTGTTAATAAAATCTATTTACTAATCTATTTACAAAAATGGTATTTAATAAGTATTCCTCAAGTCACATATAGATGTCATCTTATCAGCCACATATAAACAATCAATTAACATTTGACCCCAACTAACAACCTCATAATCTCTTATCAGTAATTTGGATTTTTGCTTCCAACAAGCATAGCTTGAAATTTTTGCTATTAGTTTGTGTTTTGGTTTGCTAAAAACTAGACGGGCAAATTTATAATTTACATAAATAATCTTAATGCATAATTGAAATGTATCGTTTTAATATACTTGCAATAATTTTAATCATATCAATGGTTTTTCTAGATGCCTCAGCAAACCCAACTGAAGAACTCATTGATGAACAGGTAAATTGATTGTTTCAACTAAAAATATATGATTTTAAGTCAGATATTGCAGGAAGAGGAATGTGCATCGTATTGCTTAAAGGTATTCCTGTGGAACACAGTGAATATGAACAATAAAATTGAGGCCTGTGATAAAAAGAGTATGCAAATGTCTGTTCTGCAAAATCAACTGGATGTCCTAAAATTAAAGGAAACAATGTACGAGAAGACAATCAAGGAAAAAGAAGTGCAGTGTTCAAGACAAGAAAAACTTAACGAAGATGTTGCCTCCATAAGAGACAAGCTAGAAAACATGACGGAAAACAAGCAACTTGAGGACATTCTAAAACAATTAGAGAGTTCTCGAGCCATAATTGAAGAGAAGAATGAACAGATAAGATCACTAAAGACAAAATTACAGATCAATGAATTCTTACTGGGCACTTGTAAGTCGAATATTACATTAAGTCCGGCAGCACTTGTAAGGCAAGATATGAGCATGCTGGAAACGAGTTGCTCACGTATTGAAAACACAACGGAAATTTGGAAAATTCAAGTACCAGGGATGGAACCTTTTCGGGTGCGTTGCGACGGAATTATTGCTGGTCCCGGTTGGACCGTTATTCAGCGACGTGTCGATGGCACTGTGGACTTTAATCGAAGCTGGGATGAATATCGAACGGGATTTGGAGATCTCGATGGGAACTTTTTCGTTGGCTTGGAGAAACTGTATCGCATGACAATTTTCCAGCCACACGAACTGTTTGTCTATCTTCAGAACTTTGATAATGAAATTCGATATGCTCACTACAGCAGTTTTAGTATCGGCAGCGAAGATGATGCTTACAAACTGAAAGATTTGGGTGAATTCGCTGGTGATGCTGGCGATGCTTTAAAGATGAATTTGAATATGAAATTCACCACATTCGATCGGGATAATGATAAACGCGGTTTCGACAACTGCTCCATTGAGCGCCAGGGCGGATGGTGGTTTAATCAGTGTGCAAGATCGTAAGTACTAAAAAGGCTTGAGAGATATTAGAAAGGTGTATATAAATGTATATTTATTAAGGAATTTGAATGGACGTTACTTTGAGAGGGAGTTGGACAAGTGGGAAGGCATTTGGTGGTGGAATTGGCAGGAAACGCGTACACTTCAATCAGTTCAAATGCTGATAAGATCAATAAGTCAAAAATAAAAACGAATAAACACAATACACACATGTGTATTTTAAAACTAATTGTATAAATATATTGTATTTCCAACGTTGCCGCCAATAAAATAACTTATACGATATATCGATTATTTGTCCATAGCGATAGTCAATATTCAATAGCACGAAGACATTTCAAGCGATACATCGATAGTTTTTTCGTATTGAGTTACAACCCTGGAACTGGAAGCGCGTCGTCTTCGCGCTGTAGTTGTATTTATTGTTGAGTTTTCTTCTTTTTAACTACTATAAGTGATTGTGTGTGCGCCGCAGTATTTAGTAACTAGAATGTACAATTCGTGTGGCCTTTTGATACAAATACGTATATAGAATGACATCGATTGATAGCGTACGCGTACTGCTCCAATCGCTGCCAGCAGCATCGCCTGCCGTCGGCAACAACAACAGCAACAACAACAGCAGCAGCAACAACAACAACTGCAACAGCGCCTCACAAAATGAGTTGACGCCGGCAAAACTCGGCGCTGCTGCGACACCCTTGCGCGCGAGAAATTCGCAATTGCAACTGCAACAACAGGCGCAGCAGCAACAGCAACTGTTTTTTGGTACGCCAGAAAAGTCAACGCTAGATGGCAAAGAACTCAATCCGCCGGATGAATTTTGGCGTGATTTGCATCAGTTTCACGAGCGACGCGGGTCAGTAATTGCCACTAAATCCCTGCCAGTGTATTCATATTTTATTTTATTCACAGCACACCGCTCACACAGGCGGCCAAAATCAGTGGGCAGCATGTGGATTTGTATCGACTGTACCAGGAGGTCACCGAACGCGGTGGCTTCAACAAGGTTAACGTGCGCGACGAGTGGGACGAGGTATACAGCGCGCTGGACACGCTGCGCGATCGCTGTGTCAACGGCACCGCCGGCATTAAGCATATCTATCGACGCTATCTGGATAAATATGAACGTCTCAATTTTCTCGGCGAGGATCCGGATAAATTGGAGGCTTTGGAGGCGGCGATTGAGTGTGCCGATTTGGGCGCCAGTGCAAGTCGTTCACGTTCACGTCTAGTGATGGGCACCGGCAGCGGTTTGATTGGCAGTGGCCTCAATGTCAGTGGCATGGGCAGCTTATTTGGTTCGGCGCATTCCACGCTGACAGCGGTGCCCATGTCGTACAATCAGCGCCAGCATATGGTGAATGCGGATCGCCGGCGACAGTATAAGATGTCCACACAGCTGCACAAGCACAGCAGCTATGAGAAGTTGCTGCTATCGCTAATCTCTCCACTGCCCAATGAGCAGGATTTCGCGATCAATGTGTGCACGCTGATGGCAAATGAGCCGCGTCCAACGCTACAGTTGACGGAGTGTCCGAAGTTGTTGGATGTGCTGTTGGCGCATCTGGGTGTCTATGCGGATTACACAATGCGACAGCTATTCCAGCATGGTCACAACACAGCTGGCGTCCAGGTGCGAAGCAAATCGAAGCTGAACTTTTGGCGTGATTTGCTCTACGATAAGCCACAAATCCTGGATCTCTATACGGATGAACAGGCCTGGCTGGACAATGGACTGATTAGCAAGGAGACCGATGCCATCGATAATGACGATGATGATTATTTTCTTCAGTCGGATGATCTAGATTTCGAATGGGACTTTTTGCATTTGCGTCGCAGTCACGGCACCGACGAACGGATCGGTCAGCGTGTCCTCCAAATTGTGCAGCTGGTGCGTAGCCTGAGTTTCCATCAGGAGAACGTCTCGCTACTCGCCTCGAATCGCACACTCTGGCGCTATCTGGTCATGGGCGCCAATGTCCGTTGGAGTAAGTTATGCAAATGATTATTAATTCTATTTTAAAGGGAAAAGTTGGCAAAAGTCTAGTTTTTAACACACATTGCTTGCTTTCAGGCAACATTCACATTCAGGCACTGGAGACGGCTGGCAACTTGGCGCAGCAGTTTGAGCTGCTGGATCCCGCCACGGATGAGCTGTCGCGAAATCTGCTGGCCACGCTGTGCGAGGGCGTCGACTCGAATGATCGGGCCGTGATCATCAGTTGCCTGGAGATACTCTATAAGCTGTGCGGACGCGAGGGCAATGCCCAGCATATTAATCGCTGTCTCGGCTTGGATTTCTATCAGCGTGTTATGCTGCTGCTCTCGCTGACGGACGTCATGCTGCTCATCTTTACGCTGGAGGCGATATATGCGCTGAGCGCACTCGGTGCACGTCCCTGCTCCATGCTGATGCAGGTGCGTGGTCTGCTCGATCAACTGGTAGCCCTGTTGACGGTGGAGGCGCAATCTTATGGCGCCGCTGGCTGCATATTGATGCGCGTCGTGGAGGTGGTGCCGGGCAACATGGTGTCCACACTGCACCAGCAGCAGCAGCAGACGACTCAGGGCAATCAAATGACGCAACTGGCGACAGTTAAGCAGACGCCGCAGCAGCAGCCGGCATTAGTTGCTGCACTGCCGCCGATGCCAACGCAGGTGCAAGTGTTGCCGCCACAAATGGAGCCGGTTGTTTTGCCTACGCCTGCTATAGTTCATGTTCCAGCTGCAGCGCCTGTTCCTGCTCCAGCTTCAACTTCAGCTCCCGCTCCAGCGCCTGTTGTTGCTGTGCCAGTTGCGCTGCCCCTGCCCATGGCCATGCCCAGTTTGCCGCAGGTGCAACTCCCACCGATGCCCAGTTTGCCGCAGGTGCAGCTGCCCCCAGTGCCAGCATCCGTGCCAGTGCCGTTGCCCGTAGCGCCCTCAGCACCACAGAGTTTCACGCACGAAGACGAAACGTATGCATTGGCCTGGCTGGGCGCCACCTATGAGCGTGCTGGCCAAGGACACGATCATCGTGTGGAGCAACAGGAGCTGTACACCATTTATCTATCGCATTGCCAGAAGGCGGGCAAGCATTCGGTGGTTAATCGCATGCAATTTCCACGCCTCGTCCGGCTCATCTTCAATCCGAGCGTGGGTCCGGCCATTGTGCGTCAGTTGGATGGCAGCGATCTGCCTGGCACCCACTATGTGGGCATCCGGATGCGCGCCCAGCCGTTGCCCATGCAGCAGCACAAGCAACAGCAGCAGCAGCAGGCTGTCAAGAAGGATGCCAAACCCGAACCGGCAGCTGTAGTGGAAGCAGCTGAAGAAGTTACTCTGGCTGCTCCTAGCCAGCCCAGCTCGTCGCTAATTAAAAGTCTACTGGCCAACAAAGTCAACGAACGTCAGCTGAAACAGAAGGCGCAAGCACAGCCACCTGCCCTGGTGCCCAGCACATCTTCCGCAACTGGCTCCTCGGCTGGTCAGCCCATTAAGGTGACCTCAACGGCAATTAGCGCCTTTGTCAACAATCCCCTCATGCAGCACACACCTGTCAAGGTGGGTCAGACCACCATAAAGCCACTGCATCCACAAATGGCGCTGGAGAAGAAACCGATGACAGATTCGGCGCCGCCACCACTAGCTCCCTTGAGCGGATCAAATGTGCTCACGAAGGATGCACAAGGACGCACCGTTATCATACAATCGAAACGGAAGCTGACCATCGATGAGGAGCAGAACAAACGACTGGCATTGGAGAGTGGCAATAACAGCATTGCTGGTCCACCTGGCAAAGAAGAGCATCAAGTGACGCCCTCGAAGAATGCGGCCAATCTCTATGCGGATCTCGCTGCGTCCATACTCGAGGATGAGGACATGGATGATGTGCCGCCGCTCGCTGCGTCCAGTCAGGAACAGCAGCAACAGCAACCACAACAACAGTCCCAGCAACAACAGCAGCAGCAGCAGCAACAACAGCAGCAACAGCAGCAACAATTGCAGTTGATACCCGCCAAAGTGCAGCCTGCCCAGCGTCAGTTAATCTTTCCGGCTGGTGGCTCGCCAGCAGCACCGCCTCAACTCAAGCTGGCGACGACGGCAACAATTAAAACGGATCAGGGACTGCAAACGGTGCCCGTCATCTTGCAACAGAAGACGGAGCAACAGCAGCAGCAACAACAACAGCAACCACAACAGACACAAACACAATATGTGCTGGCCACCAATAATCAGGGCCAAACCTATTTGGTGGCACAACAAACGGCTGCAGTGGCAGCGCCGCCCCAAGCCCCAAACACGCCCACATTGTTGGTCACACAATCGCCGCAACAGCAGACAAAGACCATCATCATATTGCAACAGCCGCCGGGTGTGAGCACATCGAATGTGCCCGGCACACAGAAGGTGATCATGACAACGTCGCAGGGACAACAGGTCCTGGTGACGACAACAACAGCGCCAGCCGCAGCACAGCAACGACCCGTGGCACCACAGCAACATCTGCAGCATCAGCAGCAGCAGCAGCAGTCACAACAAATCTTTCTCAATCCGCAGCGTACGGTGCCAGCTGCTTTGGGTGCGGGTCAAATGTCGCCATCGTTGCTCTCGCAACTAAACCAGATACCGGCAACGATTAAGCTGCATCAGCCACAACCAGCACAGTCACCGCAGCAGCAACAAATGCATCGTGTGGCAAGTAAGACGGCGCCCATACCACAACTGCAACAGCATCAATCCATAATACAGCAGCACATCATCTCTGGCCCAACGGCGACGCAGGACAAGCGACAATTGCTGCTCGGCGGCATTAAGGAGACAACGCTCATCACTCAGACATCAGCAACGGCGGCCCCCTTGCAACAGAGTCAACTCAATTCGCAGACAATCATTACCACACAGCCACCACAAGCACAACAGCAACAGCAACAGCAGACAGCTGCAACCACAGCAGTTGTTGGCGCTACGTTGCAGCAACAGCAGCAGCAGCAACATATACGCAACGTGCTCGAACAGCAGCAGCAACATCATCCATCCATAATACAGCAAAAGATCACAATGCCAACGGTGGTGAGTACTGTGCAGAAGTGAAGAAGATTCTTATTTCTTATTTAAGGCCTATTTAAATAATTCCTAAACGTTTCTTTCTACTTGCAGCTAACAGAGGCTGGCAAAAGCAAAGTGGTTGCCGCAGTGCCCATAGCCAAGAAGCCAATGCCGCCGCCTTCGTCCGTTGTGCAGCAGTTGCAACAGCAGTCGGTGCAAATTCCAGCACTGAAACCCAATCAGCAACAAACCGTTCAGCAGACAACCACAGCAGCTGAGACAAAGCCGACGACAGAGCAAAGCATAACAGCAGCCGTTGCGACAATTCCGGCTGCCACAGTCATCTCAACAACGGCGACAACAACAAGCAGCAGCATTATAAGCAATGTGAATGCTGGTACACCTGTTGCTGCCACACCTGTTGTCGCAGTGCCGCCGGTGCCTGTGGATGTCAATTGGTTGTTCATATGCGATTGGCGCAATTGTCCGCGTCGCAAATTCAAATCGCTCAACGAATTGCAACATCACGTGTGCAACGTCCACTGTCCGGATCATTTGGATCCGGGTGCCGAGATCTATTGTCAGTGGGGCAGCGGACCCAGTTTGTGTGATAATATTGCACGTAAACGTTACTCGCTGATGACACATCTGGTGGATCGTCATCTGGCGCTGGATGATTTGCGAGCTAGTGTGCAACGTCGCCTTGCCACCGGCATACACAATGTGGCACCAACACAGCCAACTGTGACAATTGTGCGCAATGCTGCGAATGCCACATCAACATCAGCAGCTGCCGCTGCAGCGGCAGCAACAAGCGCAACAACATCCACTGCGGTGGGCACTTCGGCACTGCAGGCGATCAAGCGTCATTCAGCCGACTTTCTCAACTCTAAGGAGCTGATGGATGAGAATGAGGGGCCGGTGACGAAAAGCATCCGCTTAACGGCTGCGCTCATTTTACGCAATCTGGTCAACAACACATCGACTGCGAAACGTGGCCTAAAACGCTATGAGCCGCATTTGGCCAATGTGGCATTTAGCAATGTCGAGGCCAGTGGCGTCCTATCACACATACTACACGAGTTGAGTCAGTAGCTCCCCCAATATAGTATATAGTATATGCCTACACACACATCTATTTTTGTACACCTCTCGCTGCGCTGCTATAAACAACAAATTCAATAATTAATTCTACTAACGACACTATTAAAATGTGAACACAACTGAATGAATTGAAAGTGTTTGGAGTGTATATAATCATAGCATAGAATGGAAGTGCTTTTGGAATTGCAGAATTTGCACACATCTTGGAAAGGTTTCTACAAATTTCGAATCACATTTGGGGTAGTTTTGAAATATCGGTTAGCGATACAAAATAATATTCACAAATGAGTAGGAAAATAATTCGTATAGAAGTGCAGCAAAAGATAAATCTTTGAAAAAAGTTACATCACTTGGAATTTCATTTAACTTTGATAAAGTTTTCATTTATTAAAGAGAATATTAACAAATTGTTACATAGCCTTCGGATAATTATTTATCTGAGAATTCTAATGTCAAAGATAATGAAATATATTCAACTTTAAACGGTTTTCAATACATTGAGAAGCTTGAATAATTTTCGAAAACAAAATTCACAATTAGATCAAGATTTAATATAGCCTTTTGATTTCATTTAAAATAGTAATATTCCGAATGGAACTGTACGGATTATTCATATATATTGTATAGATAGCTGTTAAAGATCAACTAAATTACAGGGCTTATTCAGAAAGTATTTGCTTCCGAATTGTCAGTCGCTGCCAGAAGATAGGATTAGTTCAAAATGTGTAACACTTAAGAGCTAAATATAAAAAGACAACTGTGTCTGGGAGGTAGATGCTAGGGCTTCCCCATTTTAGTTGTACAAGTCCCAGAGTGAGATCTGTGCATCCATGCCAGCTGCCGCCATAATAGGTGCATGCCACATGGACACCGGTTGCGCGGAGTAGGCCAGGTCCATGACGCCGCCCTGCTTGTGCTGTGTGAGCACTGCAAGCGGTCGCAAACTCTTCCACGAAAAGATGCGTATGCGTCCATCCCAGCCAGCGCTGGCGAAGACCTTCTGATCGGAGCGTATGCGCACACAATTCACGCCCGGATTCTTGATGCACAGCTCCGATCCGCGTTGCATCTGCATCGATTGTCGCTGATAGCTAAAGGTCGTCAGCTTGTCCGCTTTTGTTTTGAAATTGAGATATATTTATTATTAGATAATTTAAGTACAAAAAGCTAAGGGGCTTCTTCTTACAAGCGCCGCCAACAATGCCGCGATTTGTGATGGAATCGTAGTCAACCGTCAGGGCTTCCGGTGCCAGTTCCATGACATCAATCATACAGCCCGAGCTGAGATCCCAGGTGAGAAAATGCCCCGATTCGTAGCCGGCGAGTAGAAACAATTGGGAGGCGCACTCAAACGGCTTAAAACAGGTGACGCTGCCCAATTTGGGCAACTGTGGATCATCCGGTTGTAGCATTTGTGTTGGTGCCGCCGGATCCGTTACGTGCAGCACACCAATGGCCGTATCCTCGCACGGATAGAACAATAGCTGTTCATTTGTATTATTCGGATTGATGTGCAGAGCGGTGCGGCAATAGCCCAAATGATTACCGGGAATGCTCCGCTCTTTGACATAGGAACTGTTGCTAATGGAGAACATGGTGATGGTGCCGCCCTTCTCCTGAGTTATCAGATGCTCTGTTGTGTGATGTAGATTCGTAATTGGCTCGCTGCCCACCTCAAAGTGCAGCGCCGAACGATTTGTCTGTGAAAATTAATTGGTTTTTCTATTTTCTATTTTTGTATATTTTTGTTGTTTTGCTCACCTGTAGATCCCAAAGAAATACTTTGCCTTTGATGGTGCCCGCCAGCAGGCGTTCGCTTTCGTGGAAACATAGGGAATTCACTGCGCCCATGTCGGGGCAACGTAAACTGAACACTGGATCTGGTGGTAGCACAGCCATTTCAAAAAAGCGTATTTAAATTGATTAAATTATGAACTAAAAAGCGTGTTTTGCGTTGCAGATGTCGATAAGATAAATAATAATTTGTGGTGGTAGGTCGATAACGATAGGTTTGTCTGTGCTGCATAGCCATGATTTGTTAAAAGCGGCAAATTCAAATGACATCATTGGAATTTATTGCAATATATCGTAATTTAATACATGTGAGGTATTTTTAAATCTTGAAAGTAGCACATTTAATCACTATTGCAATTTAAATGGATCGATAAGTTTGCGTTTTATGTTAATCCACAAGCTACAATCCACACTGTTGGTTGTGTGTTACACACCGCAGCCGCTAGAGGTCGCCCGTGCTGTGGCGCGTCACGCAATCACTTTTGAAACTAGGAAAAACCAACAACAACAAAAACAACCATTTTTTTTGTGCGCGTTTCAAAATGTTATCAAATCGTGCGCACAGCCTTTAAGTGAAAATGAGCTTAAGTGATTTTATAAGAGCGAAAAACATTTAATCACTAAATGCGCACAAAACGTCCGTTAGCTATTAAAAAACATAACATTCGTCAAAGCCGCACGGCTTTAATGGACTTTGGCAGCGTCCGCAGCGTGTCTCGGCCTAGAACTCAAAGGTAGCGATCATAAAAAGACTTGTTGTCAGTTGTACTTTGTGTGACTATGGCAGCAAACCTAACAAAAAACCAACAAAACAAAAATATCACATAAAAGCGCTGAGAATTATGTGCCCGAAAAGATCGCAAAATAAACATGCTATAAGCTCGTTAATCAATGCTAAGTTGTCAGTTTTAAGTGGCTTTACCGATGTTTTTCTGCTGTTGTTCGTCTTCTTTTTTTTGTGTATGCCTTCCTGTACAATCAAACAAACAAACAAACAGCCTGAACAATCGTTTCGAGACTCCTGTTGCGTCCAAAATGATTTAGTAGACCTACAAATGAAAACGTGCTATTTTTTAATATTCGGATAAGGTTCGTATGTATTTGAACAAATTTAGTTTAGTTTGTTTAGTGGAAAATGTACTTCAAATATTTATTATCCTGAAAGTTACAAGAAAAAAGACTTTCAATACCTTGTCATACATCAAACGATAATAATTCTAGTTTGCAGGACTTTCACAAAATTCATCCTGCATTTAAATTTAGAAGCATTTTATTTGTTGTCCAAATTCTAGTTTCAATTTTACACTAAAAATCTTAAGTTTTGACAATTTAAAATTTTCCACTTCCCAGAATTGTTTTTTATACATATTCTGCCTCTAAAATAGAGTAAGTTTTCACCGGAAAATTGGCTTACAAATGCTGAATGATTGGATAGCTAATTTCCAAATGTTAACAAACTTGCAGAAAGTTGCAACAAATTGTAATTTGATTTGGGGCGCAACAAGACAACAACTCTGTTTAAGTGCAGAATGCGCTTTCGGGCTCTAAAAGTGGCTAAGCAAGAGAATTCGCTCAACAGCTGAACAGCCAGCCAATCGTAAAAAGGTTAAAAAGGCTCAGCTGCAGCAACTCATTTGCTTTGGTTTTGGTTTTTATTGGAATGGACGGATGGACAGATGGACAAATGGACAGACAGGCAGGCAAACTGGACGACAGACTGGCAGGAGGGAGAAGTCCATAAATCTTTTCGACACAGTGCTCGAGGTGAGGCGTTTAGTGGCCTAAACTATTTATGCATGTATGTGGCCATGTGTGGGTAATCCATTTGAAATGGGTCAACGACTACAACAACTACAGCAACAACAACAACAACAACCACTTGCTACAACAGCCAGCTCCTTAAACGTTGCGAATGACCCAAAGTCAATAACAATAACAAAAGCAAAGTCATTTCGTATTCATACCCAACCCAGTTTCAGTTCCCAGTTTAAAACATATTAGCTTGTTACCTTAATGAAGTCATAAATTTTCGCTATCGCTGTGAAATATCTGGAATATCCTCCACTTCTAAGGAATACCAAACTTGGCTCTAGCACATTAAACTCTTTTCTTTTTTTCTGTCTTTTTTTTTGGCACAGATCTTTACTCCAAATAAGCAAATCGATATCTCTGTGTGTGTATATATATTTATATATGCTCGATAGTTAATCAGGCTTAGTTTGATATATGCTGACAGTATAGGTTGCCCACTCCCCCCTCCCTCCTTCTGGGAGAGGTGCCTGAATACCCCACTACCCGCTGTGTGCGTTCCTACGAAAATGAAGTTATCACGCGACAAACAATGCATCTCCCCTCCCGGAGAGGCCTACACTATTTGGCATTGCTACCTATATAACTTTATATGGCTGTCATTATTAGCCAGAAATGAAATGGGGAGCCCAAGCGATCGTCCTGCTGCCGGTGCTGCTTTTGCTCCTGCTGCCAACTTATTTATGCGCTACCTTAATGGACCTTTACCTACCATCTACTCGAACTCGAAGTTCGTAGCGACTTCATCTCGGCTCCATTCTCAGTTGTGTTGAGTGTATTTCGCTTCTCTTTATTTTTTTTATGTGCCTCGAGTTTTTTATTGCATTATTTTCGCAGTGCCCCATGAATCATATTGAGCGTTGGAAATTATACAATGCCCCATTCCCGGACAGAACTATAGGCATTTTTATATGCCTGTGTTTGTGAAGGTGTTGGAATTTTGATTTGCTTGCAACAATGCAGCGCTTGGCGTGAAGTTAAAATGCCATAAAAATACTTGTAAGCCAAATAGTAAATTATTAGCGGGTGTTCAGTTAATAATACATATACATAGCAACGATGGGCAAGTCTGGGCTGCATAAGAAACTTTATTGAGGTGTTTTCTTTAAGAATGACAAGTGAAAATGGCTTTCTTAGGCAAGCCGAAGATTATAAACCTTTGCAAAGCTGAGTTGTGCTGACGATCTCTGAGTTTCACTATAAATATAAATATGCCCAACAATTGGTCCCTTGGAAGGTATATGTTATAAGTCAGAAGTTGATGATTTTATGCACAAATGTGAGGAGCATAAAAAAGAAACATATTTCGTGATTAATAATAAAATTATATTTTCAAAAATTATAAGCTCTCAATTCTTTAGTCATCCTCTAGACATAAAATGTTGTATAATAATTAATCCCAATTAGCTGTAAATATGATCTGATCCATTCTTTTAAAGTTTAAAATGACAGTAGACTTGAAATTACATTTAGATAGTTCAACTAGCTTTTTTTTATCGCTACCGAAAAGTACTCCAGTTTTATTCCATGAATTTTACAATAATATCAATAATTTCAAGCCTTCAGAGATGCAACGATAAATTCCATTTGCAACGTGAATATTTTGTAGCAACCACTTAAAATGCGCAACGAACCGCAACAGATTCATTTGTTTTTGTTGTGCGCAGCCCAATCAATTAAAACATCGACGTCTATCAGCATTATTATAAATCAAACGATAACATAAAATTGACACTAAAGGCGTTTCGCCCATTTTTCATGCGACGACGAGATTAAGCCTCCAAATTGTAGATTGTATAGCTAAAAAGTGTGCCCAAAAACAACAAAAAAAAACTGGAGCTGAGCTTTGTTTTTAATATATGTGTATATGATGTATATGTGCATATATATACATTATATATATATATATAAATGTATGCAAATTGAACGTTGGCCAAACTGCTAGACGGGAAAAACTGGTCGGCACACCAAAGTGCTCTGGTAATTGATCAATTTCCGCAGACCGGAATACCACAAAATATCGAATCGAAAACAGAAACAAAAAATATATAAAAAATAAACAAAAAAAAATCGTGAAAAAAAAAAAAAAGACCCGCAGCTGTGGCTGATAATGTGATGGCCACTTGATTTTTAAACTGATTTATGCATTCCAATTCAGTGAGGAGGAGGCAAAAGTATATTTTTTATTATGTTTTTATTTTTATTTATTTTTTTTTTGGTCTAATGAAATGGCGCTTCATAAAATCACCCACAACGCGGAGACTCTGACCTTTTATGGGCTGGGAATTTGTGTTGTTTTTTTTGTGTGTTGATGTTGCACACCTTTTGCACCTACGCCGCACATTCCACTTGAGTGAAGTGGAGCGTCTCTCGCGCTCTCTGCTCCAATCAGACGCACTCAGCCAAAGTGCCAATCAAAAGGACAAAAGGACGACATCAACACTAAACTACACACTTCACACTGACCTGGGCCTCAACCTGATATCGAAACCTTGTCCGCCTGGTGTCAATAACATTGTATCAAGTGATTGCACACCCAATCGCTAGAGATGGACGCGTTTTGTGGCATTATTGCACGACAGGACACGACACAAACACGACAGTTGCACACGGAATGCGTGCATGCCAAATGCGTTGTCAGATCTACATATGATTAATGCGACATGCAACACTTATTTTGAATGTGTCAACTTGTTGCTTAAAGCTTAATTTGAATGTGCAACAAATTTGATGATGAATTATGAGAATTCATTTAAAGTAGTTGCTCCAAAAGTGCGACAAAATAACTACAAACTACTGCATTGATATGGACTTTATTTAATATGGACAGATTTAATAATAATTTTATATATAATGATCAGAATTAATGCGTTCACAAAAACTCACACCTTTCTAGTTGTTGTAAGTACTTCGTGTCACGCAAGAGAATACGAGACACGCAGCGATCTCTGGTGGCATCATCTTGCCGGTGGACATGATTGCCGTTGGAGTGCTTGCCATTGGTTGATTGCCTGCTTGCATCACCTTCCTCTTCCTCTTCATCAGCTTTAACAAAAAAACAAAAAAATTCCAATTTAATTGCGTGAATTAAAGCTGTAAATCATTATGCTAAGTGCCCTTTAATGTCTCAAAATGCAGCTCATTTGCAAGTGCACACAGGCCATGTTGCAGCAACAGCAGCAGCAGCAACAGCAGCAGCAACAGCAGCAGCAACAACTGCAAAGCGTAACATGAGGCATGCCCCCAGGCCATGTAATCATTTTTGTAATCGCCAACTTTTTGCTGTTACCAGAGCAACAACAGATGTCTCCTTGTGTCCTCCTCCTTCTGGGCAGGCTCTCGGCTGCAGTCGCTTGCCTACTTTCAATTA